ATCGCTGCTTCCACCGACTCTCATTTCAGTCATTTGGCATGGTGAGGATTCTGCTTTTATTCCTACGTCTTCCACAGCTAAAGGGTTCTTACTGGCCACTTCAGAGCAGAGTCTATATTGGATATCGTTAAAATGTTGTATTATATCAAGCACCTTTATTATAATAGGTAATTTATTATAGATCAATAGTGCCAGTGGTCAAACATTGTACATTAGATTTCACTGTTGGTTTTTCTCTTGCTTGTGAACGTGATTCTTAGCAGGCTTTCTATGGTTTCACCCAGTTAGTGGTTATCTTCTATGTTCTCCTAAACAGCCTGGCTTTGATAAGAGCTACTATAGTGTGTTAGAGAGGCACAGATAAGGAAGGGTGTAGTGCTTTATTAGTTCTAGAAATTGTCACCTTAAGTCGTATTGACTTTTATTTAGAGAGCATTAATAATTACACTTAAAAAAAACATTAGTTTTTTTTTAAATGAGTTTTTAGGTTTAAAAAAAAACAGACTTTTCTAAAAATAATAATAGTAATAAAATAATTTTAGGTTATTTTGAAAACCTAGACGTTTCTAAGAGTAATAATAATAAATTAAAAAGAAAACCTTTTAGGTTTTAAAAATCCAGACTTTTCTAAGAGGAAGAATGAAATTAAATTTATTTTAATAATTTTAATTAATTAGTTGATTAATTTCTATGTTTTAAAAACCCAGACTTTTCTACGATGCATAATAAATAATAAAACAAACTATGTTTTAAAAATCCAGACTTTTCTAAATCAATACATATTTAATATATATTAAAAATATTTATATGTTAAATATGAATATTTATATCACTTTAACATTCTATATCTGTATTTAGCATCTTGCTGGAAATTCAGTGAAAAAAGTGAAATCTGAAATAACCATGAGGTATAACCATGTCTATGAAACTATAATCCAGTGAATTAAACACTTTATAAATCAAACTCCTTTGACAATGACTGTTGGCTTGTTCCCGATAGGATCAACACACCCAGGAAGCAGGGTGGCCTCGGCTCCATGAACATCCCGCTGGTGGCTGACCTGACTCAGTCCATCTCCCGCGATTACGGCGTCCTGAAAGAGGATGAAGGCATCGCCTACAGGTCAGTGACGATGTGCTCATGTTTGCACTGGTTCAGTTAAACTACAACTACTTAACCCCTCTTGCTTGCCATGTATGATTGCAGCAGGAGATAATGATCAAATGTGCTCGATAACGTCCACGTGTTCTGCAGTGCAGGCAGGGTACAGGAACCATGAGAAAAAAATGAACTGTTTGTTAAAAGGGTTTTATTGCACATTGGAATTTTCTATCAAAATGTATGACAGCAGTCATACAGATTTTATTGTGAACAGAATAAATTGCCATACAAACAGTAAGTTTTCTGTGTCTTGTCCTGCTCCCGCAGAGGTCTGTTTGTGATTGACGATAATGGCATCTTGAGGCAGATCACCATCAATGACCTGCCGGTGGGTCGCTCGGTAGACGAGACGCTGAGACTGGTGCAGGCCTTCCAGCACACTGACAAATATGGAGAAGGTGAGTGAGACGGGGCTCTTTCAGAATGTCCTGTTTATCTTGAGTGGACCGCATGTGTAAACCATGCTCTAAAATGCTTTGTGATCCGATCACTCAAACCACATTTGGAGGTAGTCCAAGACATGTGACCACATTGTATTTGTATTGTAAACACAGATGCATCCTGATGCCAACAAAGAGATGTTTACTTGCATAACACAAAATTATACCGCCAAAATTAGGGTTTTAAGCCCATACTATTTTTTTAAACTTAGTCACATTACAGCTGTTCCAGGTGACATCCTGTTGATTTACCACAGAAAACAATTGACTCGTCCTTCAGTTTGGGGTTATCAAGATTTATTTTTTTTCATTAAGCAAGGACGCATGAAATTGATTGAATGTGACAGTAAAGACATTTTACAAAAACAATTTCTATTTCATTTTCCTTTAACGTTTTATCAAAGAATCCTAAAAATTTATTATATTTGTCCACAAATACAGAAGGCAGCAACTGTTTTCAACATTGATAATAATAATGAATGTTTCTTGAGCATCAAATCAGCATATTAGAGTGATTTCTGAAGGATACGCCCGCCTCTGCTCACTCTAACCCGCCAGCCGTTCCTCACGCTAGGCCGCCGGCCTCCGCTCACTCAAGCCTGCCGTGTGTGACGCTGTGTGATGCATTTTATAGAGGACTGTTTCCTGAACTTGCAGAGTAGCATACAATGGGTCTGTGCTCAAAGGCTGTTCTATAAAGTGGGGCAATTCCAACTTTGCAAGGACAGTCTGGCGCTTCTGACTCACAGCCTGTAAGTAAATTTTTTTTATATTTAAAGAATTTGCGACTGATGATTCAAACGGGAGTAGTGCTTGTTGTTTGTCGTTTCTCCGATGACAAATGCAGACATGGTTTTATGTTTACGCGGCGCGATACGCAACGCAACGCGTAAAAACACAGTATAAGTCATTATAATCCGTAATTATGTCCCCACTGGATGCAACAAATGCCTCGTTTATAATGGGTTTTAATGTTTTTGTCTCGTACTGCATAAACACATTGCATTACACCAAATACATAACATAACGTTCTTTTTAGCAGCATCATATGACCCCTTTAAAATATTTTCGAATATAAAACAGTAATTTTAAATTGTAATAATATTTCACAATATTACTGTGTTTGCTGCATTTTTGATTAAATAAATGCAGCCTTGGTGAGCAGAAGAGACTTTTTTGAAAAACATAAAAAATCGTACCCACTCCAAACTTTTACTCTTATTGTGTGTATTACTGTAAGTATGACCATGAAATGTTCACATAAGGTGACGCCCAAAATATTCACTTTCAGTCTCCACTTTTCAGAGGTTTAAAATAACACGTCTGTCTATTCTTCGTAGTTTGTCCTGCTGGATGGAAACCAGGAAGTGACACTATTGTTCCAGATGTGCAGAAGAGCAAGGAGTTCTTCTCCAAGCAGTAACAGTCCTGCCGTATTTCCCGGATCGTGCTCCCGTTCAGTGGGACGCTAGAGCACTTAACCTTAGCCTGAGAGTTCTTAAAAAGTTGTCTAAGCCAACGTAACAAACTCTTTGCAGTTTAAATGCACTTGTTAGACAGATTTATTTTCTTTTCCATTGTCTGAAGAAGCTGTTGCAGTTAGCATCTCCCATGCACTGAAATATCTGTAGTTTGTTTTCAACTCTAGTTTATCGGTATTACATATTTAGTGCTCAATGAACATTTGATAACATTTTGAAAGTTGTTTTAACATTCTGGTGATCATCAATATCTGTGAAATAAACGGGCTGTTATTGTGTGACGGTGCAGTTCTCTTATTTTTACCAACCTATCTCAGCTGTTGTTGTGTTTCAGATTCATTACAAATTATGCAGTTTGAGATTTTGACTCTGACTATAGGTTCATCCATCCAGAAGTTTTCACAACTCAATAAGGAGCATGTAAACCGCTTTACCGCTCCTATATTAAATAGGTTTTTACTAAATAGTGCATTTGCAATAATATGAACTGTGCATCTCTGCTTGTAAATCCACCAGTGTAATTGTCCAGGCAAACTTATTTGATAATGGACCAGTGTTATTTTAGTATAATTGATACACTATTGTAGTTTTTGTTCATATTTTTAAATTAGATTTTATTTTTGTTTTCATTTTATAGTTTTAGTAATATTGTGTTTTAGCATTTTTTTTTTATTCGTTTTTTTAAATATACCTATTAATTTTTATTTAGAATATTCAGTTAGTTATTTTAGGTTAGGTTCAGTTAGTTATTTAACTTCAAGTTAAACTAAAGGAAAATGTGAAATGTAGTCTGAAGTAAATAACGGAAGTTTCTTTTTTATTTTTTCAATTGTTTTAGTTTTAAATGACTATAATAACACTAATGGACATTACCACAAATGCTTTTGGGTAGAGCTCGAATTGAACAGGAACAAGATTGGACAAATCAGACCGGTAGGTGGCAGTATTTCATTACATTTGGGAGAAATGGCTCCGGAGCAACTTGTTCTTATGAGCCCTCGGCTGCAGTAGGCCTAGTAGAGCAAGAAAAATTTAGCTCTATAATTGATTTCAAGGCAGATTTAATGTGTATTAAGCAGAGCTTGTATTCGGGACAGATATCTAAATGATGTACTTGCGCAAACAGACGTGATTTGTAGGTCGTGTGCTGTGGGGTGATGTACAAGTCATCTGCTAGTGACAATCTGCTAAAACACTCAAAGCAGCGATCTTCCAACGAAGGCTACAGGAAATCAAAACGTCAAGCATTTGACACTGAATTTTAAGCACTCGTTGATGTTTGATAATCTGGAACTAGATAAACCACAAGTGATTTTGCTGATCTTGCTTAATTGTTACCATGGTGTTATTTTCTACATCAAAAGGGAAAAAGTAACATTCCCATGATGTTTGTAATGATAAAATAGAATGTTTCCAGTGTTTGTATTTTTAAAAAAAAAATTTTTTTATAAAATGTTGTCCAAATGGACGTTTTAAACGTTAAGAGAACATTCAGAAATGCGTTTTCATACTAATGAGAACGTTAGAAAACGTTCTTAAAGCAGCACTATGTAACTTTTGGCGCTCTAGCGGTTAATAAACAGAACTGCACACATCCCGCGGAAGAACATTACAACCGGAGCTACTTCTCTAAGTTTATGTCTCTGGCGATTCACGCAGGTATGTGTTACTCCGCAGCGGTGACGACCCGACCAGGCTACAATAGTCCAAATATAAGTACGCATTATAAGTGTACCGTAGTGATTCGAAATAAGACAAAAACGCGGTTTGGAAGATGAATTCATGATGTACTCGCTCATTATATACATTTTGCAAATTTTGAACACAGAAAAAGTTACATAGTGCTGCTTTAAAACATTTTTGTTAGCTGAGAATGGGATTGACAACAATGTCTTTTTCCATACTGAAAAAGTCCCCCCCCCCTGATATTTAATGTCCTTAAGTGTTAACAAATAGCCTATCATTGTGTCATCAAGCTAAATTTAAAAATGTTAATATATGCTGAGATAGAGCTATGAATATAATGTTGATATTCTGTAAATATCTTGTTTTTAAACTAATATGATGTTTTCAAACTATGTGATTGCGACGGTTGATGCTTATCCTGGGACATCACTTCAAGTCTTTTTAATAAAATAAAATGTCCACTAAAACCTAAAAATAGGCTATTACAAAATTAAATAGCCTACAAAACACTAGCTTTTATTTATTTGAATCAAAATGTGCTTATTTGGGTAGAATTTTGTCCTGACATGATATATGGATTTAATTCCTTTGATGTGTGATATCCTGTTTATATACAGTCTATGGTGATATCAAATAAAGTCACCAACCATCTGGACTGTCTATGCCCAAGTGCAATTTGCTGTAGATGTGTTTCTGTAGGATGAAGATATAATTAGTTCTAATGTCGAAAGAATGAAAGAATCCCTCATAAAAGTGTTGTATTTTGTGGCTGACTAAAATTAAGAAAATTGGCAACTTGTGAAAGAATAAAGCATGTCACAAAACAGATCATATAGGCGTTATAGTGCGTGGGTCTGTGGTTTTGGTACTGGACAGTTAATCAAAACTACAGTATGTTTTCCGGAAATCACTGGAAAAAGAGTCACTGTGGGCACTTCTCGTTTATAAGTCTAGCTCTTATTTACTGCGATCTGTTTTTCTATTTTGGTGCTTGTGATGGCTCCATTTTTTGCAAAGTACCTGGAAAATGTCCGTGTTCGTATTTTTATCTCTAGTTTTCTTTTCGCTGAAACTGTTTTGGGAAGGTTTCTGCGCGCGGGGAAAACCCCGAGTTGCTAAATTTTCACGCGTTCACACGCGCTTCATTCATTCGAACCTCAGACTTGAAAGCACGCGGACTTCCTGACCGGTAGCGTGGGCGGGGGTTCCCGCAAGTCTACCCTCAGTGACGTACGAGCGCCAAAACAGCCCATGTATGGGCTTTACGTCAGCAGGAAAAAGAAGCCAAAGTGGGCACGTCTCCAACGTCAATTTAAAGCCGTACAGAGCGAGCTATTCGTTTGCTAGAAATGAACAACCCAAACAGTGGCAGCATTTTCAACGCTTTTACTTAAATATAAAAAATTATAAACAAAACAAACAGAAATACAGGTCTGGATCAACCCGACTCACAATCTCAATAACTTACTGGAATGTTTTCATAGGGCAGCACTTAAAAACAAAACCAACTTAAAGGTTTCTCCCTGTGCTTTCATTGTCCATTCTTCAGCATTTAGTACCTTGAAGATGCTTTTGAAAACAACGATAACACTCTGGTTTTCTACAAGAAAACACTTAAGAAATATACAACGCTCGTACTCAGTGCTGCAATATCATTTGCATCAAAACATCACAAACATGATCTGCTCTTCCAGTGTTTCCCATTTGTCAGTGTCCTTGTCATCGCAGACAGTTCTACCGTTTAAAACGACTTGATCTTCGGCGTCAGCATCAGCTGGCACCCGCTGCTCACATGGGTCATGACCTTCTGCTTGAGCTGGGCAACTTGCTCCCTCAGTAGGGAGGCGGTGCTGGACAGTCCGGCGTTATCCGACTTGAGAACTTTCACTTTGTCCTCCAGCCTGGAGATGCGCTCCAGCTTCCGTCGCCGGCACTTGGTGGCCGCCAGCCGGTTCCTGTGCTTTTTGCGCTCCGTTTTGATGCGCTCCTGGTCCTCCATGTCGATGGGGGACATGGGAGGAGAGCCGTCGCTGCTCTGCAGGTCGGGCACGGTCTGTGGCTCCTCTTTAAGCGCAACAAATCGCTGCGGATGATGGAGCGAGTGCTGAAAATGGTGATGAGGGTGCGTCGTTGCTTGGTGGTGGTGGTGGTGATGGTACTGTTGGTGGTGGTGAGGCAGGTAGCTGATGGTGGCTGTCGGGTAGTTGGCTGCGGGTGTGAGGTTAGTGTTGGGATTGCTGCTGTTCAGGGTGGTGTACACGGGCGTCTCCGGCTGCAGGGAGGCGCAGAAGACGGACGACGCGGCCGAGCAGGATGACACGCCGCCGACTCCGATGGACACGTTCGGCGGAGGCATTTGGTTCATTTTGTGGAGCTCGTCCAGCGCTTGTACGAAGCCGTCCGCGAAGCCCTCCTGCTCTTCTGTGATGCCCCGGGCGTACAGATACTGCCCCGGAGTGGGTGATGTGAAGACGCCGGTACCGTTCTGGATGATGAGTCTCTCCAGTTCCGGAGAGGCGAGTTTCAGCGAGCCGACGTCTCCGGTTGCCGCAGTGTAGAAGTCGCTTTCGGAGCGCAGGGACTTGAGGTTCCGGTAAGGTTCGGCGAAGCCCACGCTCATGTTCTGCTTTAGGAGCTTGTAGTCGTGCAGGGCAGCGTCTGGATGACCATAAGCAGAAAGAAACGAGTCGTCATGATAAAACGGTTGCTCCATTTTTGTTGACATGTGAATAGAAATTACGTTGGAGGTTTTTGAGTTGACTGTACACTTTACTGTCCGCAAATCTTGTTCTCTCCGTAATATTACATGAGGCAAAAAAGATGTCAAAGAGAAAAGAAACTTCCAAAATAGTTTGAACAACTTTACTGTACCAAGTCGACAGGTGTTTTCCCTTGACAGCTGATGTCCAAAAAGTGCTTTTTCGCTGTTGCGTTCCCGGACAGTTATTTACAAACAGTCGTACGCGTAGTCTCCTGTCTCGGTGCGCACTCACTCTCAGAAGAAGCGCCTCGGAGCCTTTTATACTCTGCGTTCCGAGGGCGTGTCCGGGAGAATCGCGGCCTCTGATTGGACAAGAGTTTGTTCCGCTCCTCTAGCTTTCAGATGAGCGATGACGTTGTTGCCAGGAACCGCTGAGATTGAAAACAACGCTGGAGGCGAGAGAGCAAAGCTGTAAGGGAGACTGCGCTCCTATTTTTGTTTCCACAGACAAGACGCAAAAACTGGCCGCAAGACTTACATAGGCACTTTTAAGAAAAGTTTCCCATGGCCAAGTAAACAGAAACTCTGTTGTGGTCTTGAGAAAAACAAGTTGAAGACGGCGTTAAGGGATCATTGGTATAAGCTTTGAAGTAGTATATACAAAAATTAAAATATTCATTATTTTCTTAGGAGATCTTATACGGAATGTTTAAGCAGCTCTTTTACGCACAACGAAAGTGGACGTGATTTTAAATGTCAAGCTCTAAATACATTCCTTTAATTTAGGTGGCACATCTAAACTGGCCATTTAAGTAAATACAGGATGGCAAGATGGGATTGGATCATTTTAACCCAGATGAATGTGTCAGGGCTACCACATCACCCCGGGGCCTTCAGGAGGTGCCCACTAAGGTCCTGTACTGTAAAGCATACTAAGCTTCAAGAGTAACATAAAATAAAGATGCCAAATTAATTCAGAGAATATATAATGCAGGGTTTTTTTTGAGGGCATGTTGGCCATTTGCATTTGAGTACTTTGACGTACTGAGTCATATAATAAGCAAAACATGAATAAAAGTAGACCTTTCTCATAGAGCTTTAAGAGTCTGATCCCACAGATAGACTTATTAAATGTCTTTAGAGATTCTTACTTTAAAATATAAGCTTTAACCATAGCTCTTTATTGATCAGGAATAAACTGACTCATGATTTGGCAACTGATATCCACCCCATATATGGGCAAGACTACACAGTAGTTCCTCCCTATGAACGACCGGGAAACCTCTCCCATGTCGGCCTGATTCCAGAGGCAACGCCTCCGCACATGGAGAGGTGGAGGAGGGGGAGTACACTTGAGAAGACAGATAGAAAGGCAGCACATACACAACATGCTGTCGAAGGAGTGTGAGGTTGAAAGCCCAGTTTTAATGTGACAAGTTAATGTGAACTAAAATTCAGTACAGTCCTGTTCTCTCATCATACTCTCATACTATCCATACAGACATTCAGGGAAGCTATAGCATATACTAGGTCAGGACACAATGGTGCTTCACACCTGTGGTGTGGGAAGACATTCACACGACCACATACGAACACCTGTTTAGCACTAAAAGAAAGCCACTGCTGTCTCCTCAATATGCTAATAAGACTGAATCATCACTGACTGGGCCTAAAGCCAGGTGCAAACCCACGTTTCGTCATTCGGCAGCGGTGTGTAATCTTTCACCTATATCTTCAGGTATATAACACTCCTGTCAAGACCTTCCTCTGCTGCTGCATTGAGTAAAATATCTTAAACTATGTTAGAAAACAGGCTTTTTTCTAATGAATGGTCAGCGAAAAAGGGTAGTTAACCTTCTTCAATCACCAGCATCAGGAGGTCAGACTAAATATTATGTGGTAAAATTGTAAGTAATTAGAAGCACAGGACTTTAAGAACCGCAAGGCATGTTGCACCTCCGCCGGTGCCAATGGGCCAGCCACAGGGTCATCAGCTGGGAGCCACCCATCACAGATGTTTCGCCCCTGTGATAGTATAGTATAGTATATATCATTTTTATCACTTGGGTATGTAATATTTACAATCCTGTTATCAAACTTTGAAGTATGTCTAGATATAAAACCCTGAATGCAAACTTTCTTGCAATAAATACTAAATAAACATTAATTACATTTATATTTAAAGGGATAGTTCATCCAAAAATGAAACATTTTGTTTACTCACCCTCATGTCATTCCAAACCTTTATGAATTTCATTCTCTGCTGAAACACAAAAGATATTTTGAAGAATGTTGGTAACCAAGCAGTTCCTGGTAGCCATTGACTTCCATAGTATTTTTATACCATGGAGGTCAATGGGGACCAACGACTGTTTGATTACCAACATTCTTCAAAATATCTTGTTTTATTATCAGCAGAAGAAAGAAATGAATACAGGTTTGGAACAACTTAAAGGGTGAGTAAATAATGGCAACATTTTCACTTTGGGTTAACTATACCTTTACAACAAACAAGCAATAATAAAAAAAAAATGTTTGCAATCATACAATTTTATATTTTCCATGCTGACAATATAAAATCGTAAGGTTATTCAGAATATAAGATTATTCTGTACACTAGCACTACTTCTCGCGTCCTCTGAATAATGTTTCTGAGTGACTATGATTCACTGACAATGATCTGTGTGGACTTTTAGTTGTGTCATCAGCTGAGATCAGGGTGGAGGTCATTCTTCAACTTTAGGGCCGCACGCATTCTTCAGAGCATGATGCTGTAACACCATGGTCACAGGTTTAGTTTTCAAGAAATGCACATACTGATAAAAATTCATATTTTACATTTATGGATGTGCATATCTTACATGCACTGTAATGTAAATGTCCAGTTTCAGTAGCTAGACATATTTTTTTGCATCATAATAAATGATACAGCCAAGCAACTCATATTTTGATTCCATTGTCTAGCATAATAATGAGTACGTTTTTTTTTTTTCATTTCAAAATTAGGCCCAGTATGTTTGTTCATGAATGAGCCAGTCATAGTGAAAGTGTGAGGCTAGAGAAAAAAAAAGACAAGAAAAAGATACACATCCAACCGTAACCATGTGGTAGCACAGAGAACAGTGGCTTCCGTCTCACTTCTTTGATATCTTTAAATCAAAATGGTTACACAGGAAGCTGGCTTCCTCTCTCTTCATTCCACCACCACAAAGTTCAATTCCTATTCTAGATATCATTCTTTTTAAGAATTTACTGTATCACATATCAGTCTTTTATAGATTTTATGATATTTGCTTTACTATTGTTTTTCTTTTTTCATATATGTGTAGATGGGCCATTGTATCACCTCATTCAGCAATCATTACTGAAGGTCACAAAAAGGCTAAAACCTTTGACCTTTTAGCCACAGGACGGTGGTTGTGGGCCTTATTCATTGATGTTTATTCGCATTCCTCGTTTTGTTTTCCCATCAAACAGCTTTCGATATCAGTTGATCCCACTCGCCTGACGTCAGACGTCTGTCAGTTTCATCACACCCAAGTCCATATCAAAGTGAATTACACAGAAGAGTTCCGTTTTCTTTGAAGGCAGACCCACATGAGAAGTTGGAACCCGGTTGTAGAACAGTACTTCCCCTTTAAAAAACAGATATTTCTCATTTATTTTCATCACGCTTACTGGAGGTTCATGCACACATATTCATTCAGGCTTCATGTAAACAATTTCCTCTTAAGTGTCATTTTTTCCTGATTGAAAGGATAATCTGGGTTGACAGACTGTAGTTCATGGCAGTGGAGAAGGTACGGCATGGGGTGAAAGAGAAAAGCTGATGAAACGAGAGAGAGGGCGGCAACAGTGCGCCTGTGGTCACATCAGTCAAGCTGGTGAACATGCAGCCTGTGGCTCAGCCGAGAGAGGGAACACTTAAATTTGTTAACCAACTATTAGCACATCACTGCCAGAGCGGACGGAATGTTCCCGAGATAAAAGGCAGGCAGCAAGATTTCCAAACACTCATTCTAGGAGTCTGTAGCAGATGCTTCAACTCTCTGTTTCGAAAACATCTGCTTTTCACAGGTACTTTGAAGTCAAATAGAAAACGCATGTTATGCTTGTGGCGATTCCCCTAATTTTCTAGCATTTGTGGGTCGTGAAAGGTCACTTCTGAGCTCTTCTGAGCAACCACGGATGTCAAGCTCCAAAAAACATAATTAAAAGTAGAGACTCATGCACTATATTCTAAGTCATATAAAGGTCCTGTACAGTAGAGCATGGCACTAGCAGTGCCAAGGTCTTGTGTTTCATTCCCAGGGAATGCATGAACTGATACAATGTAGACATTTAGTGCCTTTAAGTTTCTTTGGATAAAAGCATCTGCCAAGTGCGTAAATGTATAACTACAGAAGACTTGAAATATGTGTCTGTTGCACAGACTACTTTAATGGGGCCTTCCTTTTTGTCCTTTTGGAGTTTGGTAGACATGGATGTGAAATGTTGTTGTAATGAAAATGAAAGCACTCACAAAATGGCTTATGCAGTTACACACTTGATACATACTTCTAAGGCATCTAGTCATAGTTGAGTAAGGAAACTAGGGACATTTCCTATAGTTCAAAAAAGTCCAAAACATAATTGGAATTTTACTTGTTATTTTCTATGAATTCAAAAAACAGCATAATAAATGTTTGTATGTTTTGGTTTTTAAATCGTTGTGAGTTCCATATACTATTATTAATTAATAACTATGATATTTGTGAATCAAACTCTGTCTCTAATTAACTTCAATACAAATCACCAAAATCACAGTGTAAAAAAAAGAGTAACCATTGCAAACAGTATTGTATTGCAACAAAATGTTGACTTTACAAAAATAAACATGAGAATATATTATAAATAAACCTGTATTTATTATTTTTACAATATACTGTACATATAAAACAATTGTTAGAATTTTCAGTGTTATTTTCTGTTTGAACTTTTGTAATTGGATCTTTGCTAACTCTAATTAAGCTTAATATTTTTGCATTTTAGGCTCATTGTGAGCACAACGTATCTGCTTTGTGTATGTGCAAGTGTAATTGCTGAAATGCAATTGTTTAGTTGATTCATTTTTTTACTCGTATTGGGGTGTACTTTCACCCACATGATATAGCTAAGATGTGTGTGTGGGAATTGCTGCGTTGTAACTTTCTGGAATGTTTAAAATTGTGTGGGAAACAATCCTGCCCCCTGTACAGGCCCTGCTATATAGTGCATTCAAACAGTATTACTTCAATTTAACATG